CGGATGTTGAAGAGGACCTTACGCAGATCTTACGCTTCTGTATTTTTCACAGATGTGAACCATACTCCCAAGGGAAATGCTTACGCGAAGGCTCCTATTTGCAGGTGAGCGGGCGACAAACACATGATCACTAAAACTCCGAAGCAAAGGAAGCAGAGGATCACTAGCATCTACTTACTGGCTGCTGTAGGCAAATGAAAAGTTGGCTTACGTGAACCTTACGTGGAGCTTACGCGAACCTTACGCCACCAAACCCTCACCAAACGGAGCCTGGCATGTTATGACATGTTGTGATGGGGCTGACTTGAGAAAGGTTTGATACAGAGTGGCAAACACAAACAAGCCCAGTGCACACACCTGAAACACTGTGCACAAAAATGTCAGTTCCCAAGGGTTTCAAAGCTCTCATGGTCCATACAGTTCCTTTGTTGACAAGTGTGTGCTAAGAATCTACTAATGAAAACACAACCATATGGCAAGCTTACGCAACATGCATGTCTCACAGCTCCCTTCCGCAACCCTACGCTCTTCAGGTTGTTGCTTACGCCCAAGTTCCATATGACAAGGCCTTTACTTAGTTCATCTTGGGAGGTTTCTTGCGGTGCTCAATTGTTTGAAGGGACATCATCTCTTCAAGTCGTCTTGGAGAAACCCCCTCTCCATGGCTCGCACCGGCCCGGCATGGGCCTCTGCGCCTGCTTTTGCGTCTCTGCACCTGCAGTCGCGACAAGTGTGAAGGACCAAGAGCACAGTTGCAGTCCATACGTCCCGAAGGTGTTTCCATGCATGCAGGTGTGTATCACCCAAATGATTTCTTCCGTAAAGGCCTCGCATTTGGGATTCAATCACCTGCCATCTGGATGGAGACATCGTGTGGCAAGCCAGCACGTCAGTACATCCCACTCAACATGTATCGAAGCGGATCCCATTTGAATAGATTGTTTTGAAATGTTGCATACTTTCTCCGATTCCGCAATCTGCTATAAGTAGAAGCATGTTTTGGGAGACCAAAAATATACATGAGCATTTGTCGTTCGGGAAGCGTCAACAACCTGGTACTAGAACGGTATCAGATCATTATCAGGCGCAGCAAAAATGGCACCCTTGGCTCAATGAACATGTTCGTGCAGCATCTCGACCCCAAACCACTTGTGTTCAAGTGCTGTGCTTTCAACAGCCATGGCATACACAAGCAGGAACATGTCGTTGCAAGTCCAAAAGCAAGTTCTGCCTTTGGAATGTATACCGTTGGGCATCTTCGGAGATCGTCTCTATGTCGACCAATGCAAGCGTGCTTTCAAAAACACTTGGCTGCATGTCCAAAGGCGTGAGTAAGGTTTAAAATGTTTATATATACATATTCCACAAGACATCACAAAACATATGTTTACTTCAAACCCTACAAGCATGTGTTTTCAGAAACATGACATTGCACTTCCAAAGTTACGTGTAGTTGCCAAAACGCAACGCTGCACTTTGCAAGCATACCATTGTGCAGTGTCAGAAATGCACCTGTGCTTTTCGAGAATACAAGCATGTGTTTCACAACCCCACCATTGTATTTCCGCAGAAATAAGGCTGCACTTTCAAACGCATGGCGCTGTGCTGTTGAGAAACTCATCTGTGTATTTCACTCCACACCAGTACAAGCAGCAAGAGTCCTTTTTCCGAAGCATGATGTTGAGTTTCCAAGGTCAAACTCTGTCTGTGCAGCTGCGTACCAGTGTGTATCTTTGGAATCTGTGCATTTCGGGAAATACAATACAAGCGTGCGCTTTCAGAAATATGACGGTGCATGTCCAAAGTCAAAACTCAGCCTTTTTCAATTGCATTATGAAAGAACAATTATATATTTATAAAAAAGGTCCTCTGTGCATGTCGAGCAATACAACCGTGTGTGTGTGTGTATGTGTGGTCAGAAACACGTCGTGCGAAGGTTCACCGAGCGCATGCTATCATGATCATCCGATGATCATGGTTTCACTGAACAGACTTCACAGAACCCGCTCAACAGATTCCAGTGTGGAGACAAGAACGGAGACAAGTGGCGAGACAAAGGGAAGATTATGTTGTGACAGGTTGCCAGTGGAGACAAGAAGGGAGACAAAGGTGAAATCACCTCGTGACAGGATGAAATTCTTTGAAAGCCAATAAGAACCCCGACCATTTGAAAAAGAAACCATGCTTGGGAAATCGATGACATACTCGCTCGCTCAACCGGACACTAACGGTTCAATCATCACCGTGAAAAACCTGCGGTGTTGACCTACTTGAGATCTCGGTGCATCCTCTCTCCCTGAAAATTGCCCCCGCCAATGATTCCGACGCCAATCTGCTGAGAAGGAGTTGGTTGCGTCGGGCTTCACCCGCACGGGCTGAGTCCAGCGAGCTGGACTCTCCCCACGGGCTCAGCTCATCACATCGGCCAGTCAGCGTTGGCCACGAGTCGGCACCAGTGACCAGTCGGCCACATCCTATCAGAACAAGTCTGGTCCATCACGGTCTCTAAGGTCCCCTCTCAGTAAAACGTTAACGGGGAGATCATCATGCATCACATGAAGCCTGCATCTAGTAGGTACAAAATGGTACAATATATGCCATTGAAAACCACGGTTGTATGGTTCCAAGTGAATCGGCCGGAGTGCTTGCAAACAGACTAAAAGCCTCATTGTGACTCTTGGAGAGGCTGTTACTGGGGTCGCGCAAAACCCCTCTCCTTCTTGGAAGCCTTGGAGATTCCCTCTGGCGACTTGGGCTGAGTACGGCTGCGAAGTTCATGTGCGCAAGTTTCAGCCCAAAATGAATGCATACCCACCATTCTCTTGAACTGTGCGTTCCAATCATTCAATGGAGCTATGTGAGAGCACCGTATACAACTGGGTGTGGCTGAGAAATACAAATGTTCAGAAGCATGTGTCAAACACCAAATTAAATGGTTCAATCAAAGAGGCTTCTTAGCCTATTCATGCCTCTTCTGTAGCTCTGCATTTGTTTGGTTGAACCCAGCCCTTCATCCTTGCCAGCCACCGCAACAACTGGCGCGGTTGGCCAGACTGTTTTTCGTGCAGCATCTGGTGACACCAGACTCATAAACCACCCAGTGCATAGGGCGACGGTCCTTCAAACGGGATTCTTGACGCCTGTTTCACGACATGTTGCTTCCCCGGAAACCAAGGTACTGGCACTGGAAGGTTCAAGAGAATCAGGTGTCAGCAGTCCAACAGAGCATTGGCGAATTCCGAACTTCTCTGCATCGCTACTCCTCACCTTCCCTCGACTCCCTCGCTACATGTGGCCAAGCTTGGCACGGTGGGCACCGGCGGAACATCTTTGGCACCAAACCTCGCTGAGGCTCTCAAGATTTACATGAGTATATTGTTTTACATGTGATAAACAACTATGTGTTGTTCTTTGTTTGCATGGTTCTTTGTTCTTTAGACCTTTCTTTCTGTTCTTTGTTTCTGTCTTTTCTCTTTTGACCATTTTTTTTGTTGGGGATCCAAAAGCAAATATATACCCCATCCACCAAACTGGAGCCCCGATCGCCCCTATCGCCCCCCGTGCCAGCGTTTCAATGAGAGTACCGAACCTGGGGAAAATTCCGTCTCAGCCAGCTAAACATGTCATCAAGTTCCCACAGCCTATTGGAGAATGCAGGTGTTGCGGGCAGGGAAAAAGCCTTTGTAGTCTATGCGTCACAAAAACAATGGAAAGCCAGGCATTGTTCGTCAAGGATTCACTATATATATAATATATATATATATACGATGCAAATACCTTGGCCTTCCCTCACCAACAAATACCTTATGTCTCAGTCCACCTCCAAAACAATCTGCTAAACAGTCCAAAGCTCCGGTCCTGTGCTCTCAAGGCTTGCAGTGTAGCTCTCAGGGACTCTACTGATGGCAGACCCTTCTCCTCGTCCAGCTGAGCCCAAGGTTTTGCACCGCAAACGGCCGGCTCGCTACGGAAGGCAGACAGGATGTAGGCCTCTTCGAGGTCCTGCTCTGGATGGACAATGCTTTGCTTTGCTGTTGGGGGGGAACTTTGGCATTCGACCATACTTCCCACCCGACGTTAGATGAAATTAGTTGGATAATCACCACCACCGCCGTCACCACCACCAACAACAACCACCCAAAAGTAATGACAACAGAATGGCAACACCCAACATCACCCAACACATAAAAACTACTGACCAACATCAACAAAGGCCGACCACTAGGACGACCCCTCAGTCCCTCCCAATCCCCGGAGAGCGAGTAATTATACTATACCTTGAGGTGCTCAGAGGCCCTAAGGTCAGACCGAAGGGTCAGAAGGATCCGCTTAAGAGCCCAGGGGCCCAGGTCTTCAGCCCCCGGGGAGACCCAGACATTGACCTAGCCATTCTCTTCACCCCCCGACGGTGTCGAGAACCCGAGGGGCCTCCAAGTTGGACTGCTCGTCGCTCCCGCCCAAGCCCTCTTGGCCCTCTTGGCACTCTTGGCACTCTTGGCACTCTTGGCCCTTGGACTGTTCGTTAGCCAAACCAGGCTATGCTGTTTCCGAGGGGTAGGAAACCCTCCCTGACAATTCCTTCAGGGATCTGCTCATCTGCTATTTGGTTTAGAGAATCCAACAGATCTGTAGTTCATCATCCAATTGTACAGAGTAAATGTTTGGCTGTAAGTGGTGAAAATGCGTGGGTGTTAGGTTGCATTGGATTGGTGTTCAAAGGATGCTCATGTTTGCATATCCCTTAAATACCGATGCTCTAGGAAACCAAACACCCTCGTGATCCAACGTCTTCCGTGAACTGAGATATTCGGGAACCATGAGAAGCTTCATTGAACTCGCCGCTACACAAATGTGAAGTCGGACTATAAGCACTGTCAAATCGGATTCAAGAGTGAAGACCAGGACATTTTTTTTTTGGTGCTACAAACGCAAAACATACCCTTTTTGTCGATTTTCTCGAGAAGCCAAAGCCACAAACTGGCCGATCGAATCATATCACATCTGGGATACCGCTCCTTTCGATGAGTTTTTCATGATACAATGAAAACAACACATACATTTGTGAGTGTTTTCTTCTGGGCAGTAAAACACGTTGAGAAGAAATGAAGTTCTCTAGGAAATACTGGTATCTATGTGGATTATATGGATGATTTTGTGGATGTGTTTGCCTGACTACATCGAACCCTCATCATTGTCAATACAGTGGACGTGCCCAGCAGGTGTGTCGAATGTCCATTCTACATGTCTGTTCATTTTTCCTCTGCCACATTGCTAAACAACTGAAGTTAGTGTGCAAGCCTACAAATTTGCGTGAACTCACACAACGAATATCAATATCTCTTGAGCAGTTTTCATGAATGTCATTGAGACACATCATCGTCCCAAAAAAATACAAAACATTCCCATGCCATAAATCCCCGCTCACCCCACATGCCTTCCATCGACAAGGATCCCAATTTGGACCGCCGACCTGCTCTGACGTCTCGGCCTCCGCCGCGACGTCCGCGGCGGCGTCCGCCGCGACGTCCGTCGTGCGGCTCAAGGGCACACCCGAGTCCTGGCGGCGATGAAAAAGGGTGGACGTCGCGGATGGTGACGAAACGGACATCGCTCACAATAACTGTGGTTGTGATGAAGCAGATGGCCGGAAGATTGGTGAAGCTGATTGCCGGAACGAAATCTTGGCCCAGACTACACCTGTAATCATGCGTCTGCTTTAATAGGTGTTGATGATCAATGTCTGACCTGATGGTGCTGATTTTGTTCTTCCAAAGGCTCACAACGTTGCTTGGAGTAACACTGAGTGTGAGTACAGGCAGCCCGAAAAGTAGTAGAAAAATGACCACATTACCTCAACCAAGACAAAAACCATCTAACTATAGAAGCCAATGCCATCGGCTTGGCAGGTCCTCTCTCTCTAGTAAACGCAAACATGAAACTCCATCCACATCGGTCCACGGTTCCAGTGTGAAACGGGTTCCCTGAACATCATCGAAAATCATCCACCATTTTGTTCAGGTGATCGAGATCTCGGATTTTTTGTGTTTTTCCCCTACCTGTCAGATGAGGGCTGTAAAGTTTATGTCAGCTGCCATCCTCCGCCTCCTCCTCATCCTCCTCCTCCGCGTCATCCTCAACCGCCAGCTCCGGATGGCAGTGTTCCCCGCTGGACCTCAACCGCGAGCGCTGGCTGGCAGTGTTCCCCGCCGGACCTCAACCGCCAGCTCCGGACGGCAGCGTTCCCCGGCAGACCTCAACTGCGAGCGCTGGCTGGCAGCGTTCCCCGCCGGACCTCAACCGCGAGTTCCGCTTGGCAGTGTTCCCCGCCACACCTCAAACGCCAGCTCTTTGTAGATTACTATGTGTTCTCTGTGACTGTCACAAAAGCAATCATAAGCACACACCCACAAACACACAACCACAACACACAAACACAATTACAAACACATAGCCACAAACACACAATGGCAAACAAACAACCACAAACACAACCACAAAACCCACGACCATAGCAACATGCTCCTCACCATGGCATGAAAACAAGCGATTGAAATGTCATGGTAGGGATCACTCGAAGTCAAGTAATGTGTGTCTCAAATCGAAATCGAATACCTCAATATGTCCAAAGATGTCCAAGACCTTTGTCTGAAAGAAGACAAGTCCCCTGTCAAACGCACAGAAACAACCAACCAAACGGGGTGGAAAGGACTTCCTCTGCTCAGCCTCTGTCACATGGATCCAACCCATCATGCCAGCCATAACGAGACCGCGGCCGTCGCCCATCCTTGGTCCAATGATTCTCATGAGGGCGCTCCACCGCTCCTTTCGAGATTTGGCAAATCCTCAGCGCAGGCTGACCGAGTGCCTTGAGCTACTGATGCTACTGGAACTTCTGTTGCAAAGCTCCCTGCCGATGTCACAGTCCAATCTCGGGCATCGGAGGATCCAAATCTGAGTGCCCGAGCGGGCATGGAGAGACGCGAGGATCCAGAACCTTGGTATTCCGAGGGAAGCGTATCAAGCCGAGCTAAGAAAATGGTTCGCACAAAGATGCACTAAATATGTGAATGATTGAACTCTCGGATAGGTAGTAAGTTGTATGAAAAACAAACATGAAATGCTTCAGTCCAGTCCTCCTGATAAAATGTCCAGGCTCTGATGATTTCTCTAGAAAGATTGCATGTAAACTGAACACTACTGAACTCCCGGTTGGAAGGACTCTCTTTGTTCAATAGACCACCAATACCAAACAAAGGTGATTGGTACGGGAGGCCATTTAAGCCAGCAAGCAAGCTGGCGCACACGTGCTTTCCCAACCAGCACTGGAGTGGATGACGAGAAGCCACATCGCAGTCTCTGATGTGGCAGATTCTTGGAGAAATTAACTGCTCAGGAAAGCATAGTAATTAATATGTAAAAAACATAAGTGTGGAAGTGCGGTCAAATGTCACCTTGAGGCTACACTCCGACTTACTTGGAAGTGGAGAACTCACACAAATATCGCGGAAGCAGGCATTCCATGAACCACCATGCCATCCACTTCCATGCGAGCAAGTCAGACAGAGGCTAAATAGCACCAACTTCAGTCCTTTCTTCAAAGCCTCCAACCACTTTTGGGGGGGACTCAGCGTGGCTTGGCCAGCTCGGCAAGAAACGGTTTCGTCGAGAATCTGGCCTGTACCAATGTAGGGTGAAATGGTCCAAAAGAGTTGCATGTTGATTACAAAAGTTTCATGTGGATTATATAATGATTCATTTGTATCATATTATACATGTTCCAGTCCAACGGCTGAAGAATGCATTCCCAGAAGCAGGCTGGGCCGCCTGGAGGAAGACATCGCTGTTGCTTGGTGGGCTCGGGCACGTTGTTGGTTGGTTTAACCTGCACTTTGCAGAACAAGGGAGGAAAACAGAAGCTTCACTTACAGTAGACCGTGGCTTGATGAACAGGAGCCTTTAAAGAACTTGGTCCGTCTGGACAGGAAGAAAAGAGGTGCAATCCCAAGCAACAGTGGACAACTTCAATTTTTGCTGGTTGTTGTCGTTGCCTAGAAGGAAAGCTAATCAAGATCAAGGTTATAGCCAACAATCAGGTTCTTGAATTTAAAGTTTTGCTGATTCTCCAGAGACACAAGTTCCAGTCCAAAGAAGAACTGCATTTAGCCGAGGAGCATGACTGACTCTGAGACTGTTGCTCTGAACGATGTTCCAGCAGCAACGACGGGTGACACCGGATATCTGAAAGATGCTCCAGGAGAGACTGCAGGTGACACTGGATATCTGAAAGATGCCCCAGGAGAGACTGCAGGTGACACCGGATATCTAAAAGATGCCCCAGGAGAGACTGCAGGTGACACCGGATATCTAAAAGATGCCCCAGGAGAGACTGCTGGCGAAACTGGATATCCTGCTCGCAGACTTCGTGGAGATGCCACCTTGCTTGCTCAAGCCGGTTCAGGATGCAAAACTTGTTGAGACCCCTCCACCACAAACCACTCGGATGTTTGTGGGCTACATAGACAGAAAATAATCTACCACGATCAGGCTGGTGTCCAAGTCCAACTTCGGGAATGTTCAGAAAGTCAACATTCAATGGTCAGAACATGATGCGTCCAGCACAACTGGGTTCTCTTGTCTGTTGTCAAGGAGGCTCCCGCCATCTCTCGCAGTCTCAAAAATTCCTTCGTGACAGGGAAGACAGACACTTAAAAGAAGAAAACTGTTTACCACGGTGAAAAAAGAACTACCGGTGGCACTCCAGGAAGTGCGGGTGTTGCATGTATTTGCAGGATCATCCCAGCAACACCATACAATTGGCAACCTGTTTCCCATCAACAAGTGCTTGGCAGCTAGCAAGCCAGCACACTTGCCACCAACAACCCAACCACTTCCCTTCTGTTTCGTCCTACCGCTACCTCCACTAAAGAGCTGGGACACCTGCAACCTCATGGGTGACAGTGATCTTCCACGGGCTGCGGAGAGCTTTGCGGCGTTCCCAGAGCTTTGTGGAACAGTCGACCTGAGCCGGTGACCGGCTGTGACGAGAGTATGCAAAGGCCCGGCCTTCATACAGTAACTTCCATGTTCTTTGGTTTGCAGCAGGAACCAGGTGCCTCAAGGGCACCAATCTGTTTGATCAGAACATCGCAGAAGCAAACAAAACTTCCATCGACCATATGGCCACGTGAACCAGGAAACATGCCACTTGCTGCTCACCAAGCAGCGAAAAACCCATCTTGGGTTGAAGTCCACCCAACTGAATGGTCGACAGTTTTGTCAAGGATTGTAGGCCCTGCTGTACCGTGAACCTGAGTGCAGGTCAACACGGGCAGTCTCCGACATGAACCATATGTTTATGTGCGTTCGTATAACCACCACCACCACCACCACCACCACCATGTCACGTATTAAAAATTAGTTTTCTGTCTGTCTGTCCGTACGTACGTACGTATGCATGTATGGATGTATACAGTAGATGTATGGATGTATAGATGTATGGATGTATGATGATGTATGGATGTATTGATGCATGCATGCAGGCAGGCACGCACGCACGCACGGATGGATGGATGGATGGACATGCATCTAGTATAACAGTGTGACTGACGCCAATCAGATCAATCAGTTGCACAACAAACCCTATAAAAGGATCTCAAAAAGGCACGGCTTGTATAAGCTGCAAAGATGTCTTTCATCTAGCCCTCGCACCAGTTTCAAGCAATTGAGGTTTCCGCCATCATCCTCTGCTCCCGTTACAGCATGGAATCAATACACTCCCTGGAACCAACATGGAAGTAGAGAATGGCCCCTTGAAAAACCATTTTCCACTACAAACAGGTGGTTTTCCACTTCTATGTCTTTGGTTGGAAACAATGTCCTTGACCACAGATTCAGGCCACGGACTGACCGCTTTCCTAACCCTCAGAGTTGAAGTGTGACCACTACACTCGATGACAGGTCAGCCAAAGCTTCACACCCTTCACCCGAAGTTTATTCAGGATGAGAACGCTTCTTAGTGGCTCAAGCTAGGTTCGGGCGTTGAACTACCTCTTGAGAGGCGTGGGCCACCACATCATACCATCCGCCCCGATCGTTGGAATCACCCAGCAACGGTCGTTGGACCGGCGCCCCGACAGAGCAGGGCACCAGCGGACGGTCAAAGAAGGTCTCGAATCCTGGAGTCGAGTCGGCGGATCGTTCAAAGAGCCGCAGCTCCAAACGACTGTCAGAGCGAGAGGCTGTCAGGGGCTGTCAGAAAAATGCACAGGATGTCACTGCATCATAAGTTCATGCGAAGTCTGGGCATCTTGGAGTCGATCAAAATAAGTGTCGAATCCCTTTGTGATGGCTCGCCATCACTAATCTTTAATGATGAACATGACAAAAGCTCTTCTGTTCTGTAGAACGATTCTGAGAATCCCATCCCTGCTTTAAACTGCAGAACATCCACAGAGGAGAAATCCCACATCAGAGCTCCTGTGCTAGGTTCAAGCCCAAGCTACTGCAGAAGTGTCAAACTCCTCAACATCTGTGCCAAATTACAGCATAAGTATCCGCCGCTAAATAATGAATCCCTGAACATTGGTAAAACAGCTTATCCCCAAGGTCATTTGCTATCAATCAGGTGGCTTCAGTGTCCTCTTAGCTAGAATGTCCAAGGGGTTCCAAAGGGCTTGAACAATCAAACGTGCCTGCCTAGGGTTGCCTAGGGCTTGCATCATCCGTTCGCAAATGGACGGACTGAGCCCCGCATCCTGTAGGCGGTCGGCAGGGAGATCCACTTCGAGCACGAAGCACATGGGCAGCGGCAGTCCTTGGGCACAATGTGGAGGCTTTTGATGCTGGCTCTAGGAGATTCTACAGGATGTTTTCTCCTCAATACATAATACATAATATTGTGGGGTGTTCACAGCGTGAAATTCCAAAAAGAACTTGGAACAATTACTGAGCAAAAAGACCTCTGCCTGTGTGTTCGAAAAGGTCCAAAATGATCGCTGGACTCTTTCTACTAAGCTATGCGTGATTCAATTCGTCAAGCACATCTTCTGTGAGGCTCCCTGTAAAAAATATACATTATATACATATCAAACACCAACAAGGAGGCGAAACTTGGGCACAACTTGGAAGCAAACAACTTCTTTTGCTCCAGTCTCCCAAAGAGTCCTTCACAGTGCGGGTTGTTTTGTCCAGACGGTCTTTGGACAAGCCTGTCTCGCTTGTCAATTTGAGGAAAAACTTTGGAATCTTCCAGAGTTGGTAGATAATGATATACAATGTCCAAGGCTGCCCACAGTATGCATTCACAAAGGACATGGTCATTGTGGAAAGATCTTTGTGCGCATCAGCTGCGCAATCTGGTGCGCTTGGAGCGGCTGCAGGCGCTACATGGGGCAGTGGCGACAGCGCGCGAGAGCTTCTGGCGTCCAGACATGAGGTGTTGCTAGAAACTGAGATGGACATGGATCATTCGCGAAAGTCCCTTCCTGGTTCCTTTTTGCGATGAACTTTCGTGGTTGGATTCCTGCTGATTGGCCTGCTCGGATCACGTGCCTGTTTTGGTTTTGGTCTCTTCGGGTTGCAAAATGGTACAGGTGTTTTTCGCATTTGCAAATAGACTCGTCCCAGGAACCCTTTTGGTTAGCTGGCTATAGTTAGCCCTGTGGACATGGCATTCATTTCAAAGTCATGTCCCAGTTGCAAGTGGGTTGATCCTGGTTCCAACACGCCAACACGGGGGACGTTGTGACATGTTGTGGCGGCGCTTGCGTCGGTGTTGAGGTATGCTCATGATTTCGTGAGTTTGCTTTGTCCATTGTTAACGCCAAGGATTTAAATCACCATTTCCACGGCGTTTGGTGTGCAATCGATGTTGAGTGATGCCGCACTCCCCTGCATGTTAAAAAACAAAAAGGTTCCCTACGATTCCAAGCGCTACACACACACACCAACACCGATGGGGTGCATGAGAAGCACATGCGCGCGCAAAAAGAATAAATGAAAGGACATGAGGCAAGTTCATGAAAAAGACATGTGTGTGTGTGTGTGCACAAAAGAAAGCAAGGGATGAAGTGACTTGCTCTCTCCTCCGACGTGCCTTTCGGCTGGCTCCTATTGTCTACTACGGACTCCTCCTGGCTGTAAGGTCATTTAGTCTTAACGCAACGTTTGCCATCGATGGCTGCTGTCGCCTATGGACTCCTGCGATTGCATGCAACGACTTCACCCCAGCTCGGCTAGGCCAGGAGTGCACCACTTCGGGCTCACTCCAGGCTCTCAAAGAGAGACACTCAAGATATCCTGCGCACGGTCTGAATTTCACTTGCCCTGAAGCTGTCCAAGTAATTCGAAAGGCCAAAATGAACAGGGATTAAGTGAAGAGGCATCCAACGATAAAAGGATTGCAGACCTGAAAAGATCCTGCAGCAGCTTCAAGACCCCTACGGCCCCTACGAGTAGAGAGTTGCTAAATTCATTCACAACATCTGGCGCAGGTACGCCAAGTTGATTAGGCTCGGTGTCCCATGATTGTGGTAGCTTCGTTGAGTGCGGTCCCACAATCATGCCGCTCTCCCGCTAAAAAAGCCACCAAAAGGCTCTCTATGATTCCAATGGGGTTATACACACACATTCATTCGCAGGTCCAAAAGGGATTCTAACGGGTCTCAATCATGTTCAACATCAACAAGCCCAACTTTTGTCTGGCCAATGTACATATATATATATATATGTATATACATGGGCCGTTTCAAAGGTGAACCGGTGGACCCACTGTTCCTTCTGCGAAACCTTGCAGGACTGCCCACACGCAGCAAAGCTACTGCCCCTCGCTCGGGCTGAAGAGCTGTCCGGCCTGCCAAGAAACATGGATTCTTTGCTGAGGAGGCTCGAAACGCTGACCGAGGGGACAAGGTACTAGGCTGCTGGGGATGGATAAAACGACAGACGCAAATTGGCCAATGGTGAAAGAGAATGATTCGCAGATTCGAGGCTTGCAAAACTGGCTGTTTCGTGATAAGCTTTGCCTTGCAAAAGGCACGGTGGGGCCCAAAGTCTTCGAGAAGCCCCGGACTGCAGACTTCCCAGCTCCATTTTGATTGCTGGTCCATTCTCCACGGACGTCGAGCACTACTTCTCGGGTGAAACGTTGCCGGGAACCCCGGAACGGACGCCAGCGTCACTTGGCTGTACCATAGGACCTGCTATGGGCGTCACTCATGTAGACTCATGTAGACTGTAGAGTTAATAAACCCCTCCATATGAAAAGCTGTTGCAATCTGAATTGGGTGATGTTCAAAATACAATTCCTATGCTGCTTCTGCCACAGGTGTTGCAATCAAGGAGCGGTCCATTGATCGAGAACCTCAGCGATGGGTGCACATCAGCGATGTACATCAATTCCCTTGCTGAAGAGGTTTCTTCACGCGTTTTACTGTACTAGTTTCATCCGAGAGACTGAGGAACTCCAGAAGCTGGCTTCTTCGCGAGATAAGGAGATTGCCTCACAGACACCCCACATGAAACATGACGCAAATTCTCAAACCCAGCGTTCTTGGAGGTCTGGCCTATCTGACATCTTTGTTCAGTCTACATGACATGTTGACAGGTATGTATGTATCGAGTGTATCGCTTGTCCTGTCGGGGGTAGAAATCAGGTCACCTGGGATAAAGCACTTCCAAATTGGCATCACTTGAAGCTCCCCTATTGAAGGCTAAACGAAGGGCCACCGGTGGAAACCCCTGGCCGCATGGCTCAGGCCCGGCGGCGCCACTTCAAGTCGCGACCAAGCCACCACTCTTTCCATCGATCAATACACCTTCCGCGTCGACCGCGCCGCGCCACGCGCTCCGTGGCTGGACGCGCGAGTCTCCGATGCCCCCCCTCCGCGCAGGTCGTTTCGGCGGACGAGGTTTCTTCAGATCGAGCGTCGACCATCGGCCGCCAGGTCGCCTTCTCTGGTTGTTTTGGAGTTTCAACTGGGATTGGTTCGTTCAAATATTTGAATGTGACTGGAGTCTGGAGTTTTCGTTTGTTCAACTAACTTGGCAAGCCATAACAGCAAAACCATCCAGAATGGTGGAGCAATACATGTGTGGCAGACGCTACCACCAGTGCTACCCATGAAGTAGAGAAACCCGCCAACACCGGGCCGACTCTTCAAGCAGCTCCCGTTGGTGAAGTCATCCCTTCTTGGGAGGCTGATCTGATGGAGCTGGTGTCTTCTTGTTCAGGTCCAAATGGATCCACAACGGTTGGTCTTTGACTCTTCAGCCTTCAGTTGAGCCATCGGGTTTCAACTGCACCCTGGGCATTGCGGCATAACCTTGTAATCTAAGGTAGTTTGTCTCTCAGCAGGTCAGCGGCCCTGCCAAACCTCTAGAGTGAGAGTCGCCCTTTGAGAATGCCAAAAGTATCCTTTGAGTCGTCCTTGGTCTGTGACTCCTCCAACTCTGTGGGCTGAGTGAAGCGCGGGTCCGGTGTTGATCCGTGCCTAGTGAGGTTCTCTTTCACCGGGTAGCAACACCCGCGGAGCATTCGCCAGAAGAAGCGCCTGGGGAAGAACCGGTGGAGGTCGTCACACCTGAGGAGGGTCGCCCCTTTGGGGTGATGTGCATGACCTGTGTCATGCTCGTGGCATAACCTGTTGCCGTTGCCCTCAAGTTCTGGGAGAAGTGTAGAAATGTGTCTAGTGTGGTCTTCTATGGCTTGCATGGTATGCTCAGAAGAGCAAAACAACGACCAAGCAGTGGATTTCCCCATGCCATCCCCATCTGAGGCGATGCACACCACGGCCAGAAAGCTACGCACGATCACAGCCTCGGGCAGTGAAGGGTCCAAAATGGTCCAAAGTACGTCAGCAGGGTGACTGCAGGATGACTGCCTTTTCAAGCTGCGAATCAGCTGCTTTTTGGAAGACAATTCGTGGAAGTTGGTGATTCGCTGGTGAATGAGCTGATCCGTGGAGGCCCTGGTATGTGTGCTTTTGTCCACTAAGATTCAATCAGCCTGATGTTGAGTGAACATCAAATTCATGATCGTCCACATGGTCTTGTGATCAAAACGATCATGTTGCCAGGATTGCCCAGGGTGTTTATCTTGTGCTCCATGATGTTCCATGCCTATGTCTATATATAACTTCTCCAAATTGACAATTGAATGAAACAATAGTTAGCAGTGAGAGCAATAATGTTCTAAGACTTGTAAGGAACTTGTGATGTTGTGATCACCCTCACCCACCCCAATGGGCCACAATCTCCAAGCACTAGGCGATACAATCCAGAATCGCATAGAGGATCAGCTTCACCGTTGACTCCTCTTCAGCTTCAGCCTTATCACCTCCACCTCACAGCTACCACAAAGCGTAGCAGCGTGTCTGATTGCCATCGGGTCGTGGAGGAGCTGTGGGTTCCCTATTTATTTTGACATCTTTTGACCTTTGCTTCTTGAAATCTGATCAAACAGGCAGAAAGTGTGCTTGTCTGAGTCAAGACACACCGACACAAACGAAACAACACCTGCGCTCGACTCCCCTTTGTGCATGACTCAACTCCTCTTTCTGCGTTCGAGCTCGGACGAAGGGAGAACAGGAACAAGAAGAAGCTATTAGTAGCTCCTGGCATTGCTACTACGAACAAGAAGCTACTAGTAACAAGGGGACCCCATCGCTACTAGTCTACTAGGGGCTCCTGGCCTTACTAGTAACAAGAAGCTACTAGGGGCTCCTGGGCATCGCTACTAGTAACAAAGGGCATTACTACTAGTGGCATTCTTACTAGTAACAAGAAACTATCTTGGCCCATCTTCGGCCTTCTTGGCCCATCTCAGCATCCGCCATGGCGTTCGATCAAACTCACCGGTAGACCGTCGGTGCGGTGCAGTAGACCAAGCGTGAGGCTGTGATGGGCTGTGACTTTGGTGGATGGAAAGAAGTGGGATGTCCTCACCTTTGCAGAATGAGAATTGAGTAAACTTCTTTGAAACTTCTTTGCGACTGAGCCTTGTGGGCAGGAAGTGCTAGTGGTTGGAAGCACCCAGGAATTGGGGTGTCTGAAACATGCTGCCGCACGTTATTGCATTTCGTCCCAAGAAATGATGAATGCTGGTTTCATCGGATCTCTTGAAAGAGGTTCAACCGCTGGCGGTCAATGTGCTCCAGTATATAGGCTGACTGAACTCAGTGGAGTCTATCTACACCAACAAGGTTCGGTCTCGAATCTAAACCTTGGGAGAAGAGCCAAACAAGGACAGTCCAGCAAGTGCCAATACTGCTGCTGTGCCGCTTAGCAGAAGGAAGCCACTCCATAAAGTGTTAGACATACGACTTCCCAAGCAAATAGCAACAATGTGAAACACTAATATGTATGTGTATATGATATAGTTTAATATAGTAGAGTAGACAGAGTAGAACATATTCTAATATAGGACAGATAAAATGGTAAATAGTATAATATGTATATACTAATTATACCGATAGATAGATAGATAGATAGACAGACAAATTTAATAGACAAATAGATTCAATTGCAGGCCTTCTGCTGCTGCCCCAGAGCCAATGAGTTCAGCATGAGGCCTGACCTGACAAAAGAAATATATAAAGAAACTCCCGGTCATTTCAAGCGACCAGAAACTTTGTTCTTCCACGTCGGTTGGATTGATTGGACGTTGGATGGAAGAGGATTGTACCAGCCACCTGCTGGGGTAAAAGATCGCTACTAGGAGCAAGGACGCTACGAACGGGGATCCTGGCATCGCTAGTTGAAATCCACAGCCAGGCCATTCAGGACAGACCTGAACGAAGACGAGGACCTGAGGCCCAGACCGGATTCCGTGACCAGGCTCCTGGGACCGTCGCGGAACCCGCGACGCGACTGCGGGTGTTCGTCGTTACAAAGCCGTTCGCCACTGTTCGGTGAGTTTTAGCTTTTATGCCTCCTATCATTCCCAACTCACCACACGATGCACCCTCAAACTAAATCCCTTTCAGTCTTTGCACTCACTTCAACGTAAGAATTCAGCCGGTGAGAGACCTCTTGGACCTCTAGTGAGACCAGGCCGCTCCCGGTTCGAGCCCGCATATCTTCCGACAAGTATTTTTACACTCTGTGTCTATCAAGATCTAGGACAGCGACCCGCGTCCACTTCCAACTCTTGAGGCGACGGGTTCTTCTGATCAATATTCTATATACCTCATACCCCACCAGTTACGCAGTTTGCTCGGCAGTTGCGCGGCTCCGCCTGTGCCGCGGAGTAGGCCGGGCGTACTACCCCGGGTGGCCCCAAAGAGCCGTGGGGCACAGCGCAGAGGGCGATGGCCTGGTGGAACGACGGAGAGGATTTTCCATGGTGGTGGACCAAACGAGTCGCCTCCCAAACCAGTTGAATGGGAGGGAACCCTAGAAAGACGTACCAAAATCGCCCTTATTGTTAAGGAACAATAAGGAACCTTTTATGTGACTGAAATGGAACGAGATGGCCAATCATTGGAGCACGATAATGGCGTTGCAATGCATTCGTTCGATGCTTGAAATTCTTCTCACTGTTGGTCGAATTCGCTATACTCCCAACACCGTGGTGGGAGCGTAGTACAGCAACTAACAGACCTGGGGCATAGTTGGCTGGCAAAGACTTCTGACCTGGTGCACACGGCCTGGTCCATCAAGCTAAACACGAAGATTCGGAACCACGAAAAACACCCTGCGTGCTTCACGACCTCCGACCCGCACCACGCACCACGGCCCGGTGCCGACACGCGGGATCCGGTGCCGGCACTCCCGGTGACAGCGGGTGTTCTGCGAATCGGATGGAGTCGGTAGTAACAATGAAGGGCATTACTAGTAGTAACAAGGACGCTACTAGTAGCTCCTGGCATTACTACTAGGAACAAGAAGCTACTCTATACATGTTGTCAAGACCAGCCCTTGAAACCCTTGGAACGAACATGGAGGATGTGGCAGTGTCCAGACATTCCTCAGCCACCGAACGCCAGCGCGACAGGTCCAGAAAATGCTTCAACTTTACGTTTGTCCTACAGATGCGTTGTATAATATATTCCATAAGTCAGCTGATTATATAGGGTGTATTCCAAGACGGGCTCCAAGTGCGCCTGCTGGACCGGCTGTGATGATACTCCTCCGAGAAGGGGCACTGGCTTTCTCAGCGTGAAGACAACCAGGATCGATGCTGTGTGTGTGTAACCTTTGGAGTCGCAAGGTTCCTTTTCGATTGTTTCCTTTTTCAGCAGGGGGCACATGCCCATCGTGGATACCTGTGCCAACGAAGCTGTTCCACGATGGGGGAAGCGGAGATTGATCACCTCCGTGTACCTGCTTGGTTGTGATGTTCACAAGCTGTTACCCTCATCTTCTTGGCAGTCACGCAGCATAGGGCTTTACTTTGGATTCTGCACGAATTCGTCGTCCCTGTCGGTTCGCGACTCGTTTTTGAACCTTGCTGCAACTTTCGTGACTTGAGCTTTGGAGTTGCACTTTGGACCTCTGGCATCCTAACGACTAGAGATGATCAGGCCTCCTCATACCTGACTTTTCAGGAATTTGGTTTCTTAGGCTGCCGTGTGGCGAGCGGCATTCACATCAGTACATGCATTTCTATAAGTGTGTGTGGAAAGGAAGTCAACATCAACACTAGTAACACTGCTCGAACAAAAAGAATGTGAACACTTTTGTCCGCAAAGACCTAGCTTTGTCCCAACACTTCGTCGCAGGTGCTCCGAGCAGTGTGGCATCGCCGCTGGAACCACCAGACCGTCGGACCAGGAGGTCTGGTCATCTGCCTGTTGAAATACACCGGTTGATTCAAAAAAGACGCACATGAAGATGTCACCATACGGGTAGGGGGCTCTTGGTCATCAACACCATTTCATATATCCTCTTGAAAGCATCAAATCGTTTGCTCCTGGCTTCGGCAAAGCCCATGGCCGCAAGGCCGGAGAGGCCTGTTTCTGACGAAACGCTGCAAAGTCATGGCTGTCGACAGGGCACCAAATATTGGAGGGGAATACCTCAGAAAGTAAACTCCATGGTACCAATCTAGTGCATGGTTTTGCTCATCAACAGGACTCCTTCTTGTGCAAAGAAACGAAAGAAGTATGTTGTTGACTGCCAACGCCGAGCCACAGCAACTCTGCATGGGACTTTTGTCAAGAGGAGATGGAGATTGTCAATTGGCTGTTTATGGGGGACGAGGAGAAGATGAATGCCCAGAAATCATGAAGGCAAAGACATGCTTCACATGGTTGTTCATCACACCTGTTCAAAAAAATTGTGAGTCCCAAAGGATAAGAAAGTAAAGGACCTGGTCATAAAGGAACAAATGTCATCTTCCAGGTCCTTTACTTTCATCTTCCTACCAGGTCCTACCAGACTGGATGTCTGCGGATAGTTCATCTTCCTTACATCCTGAAAACTCCTACCAGAGTCCTAGAGTGGTCCTCATCAGATCCAGATCCGTCAGACAGCCTCTGTCGGACTGAAGCCAGTGAGACCTGGACGCGACGCGACGCACGTTTCCCCCCCAAGATGTTTGGATGAGGGTCCACTACTACACCACCGAACTTGAACACTTGTGCCATCTACTCTCAAACCACTGTAAGTGAAGTGAGAAAATGTGCCCAGAGCTGTACAGATTTGAGGACAAAATGACTGTGGCCCATATGTTGGATGTGTGCCAATCCTAGCTGCAATCAATACTCGCAAAAATATCAAAAGCCTATGCACTGTTGTTAGTAGGGCGTCCCTATCCGCATGCAAAAAAAACAGCTATTTGTTAGGTCCGATCGGCGAATCGGCACACAAAACTGGGCCCTGAACACAAACTGTTCAAACACACGATGTCACCAACAGTTACCAACATTTAGGCTGTCCTACCAGATCTGTTCCCACCAAGTAGTTGATATCACACCCAAACCCCAAACGCTGGCCACTGGAGGCTGGGAGCTTGGCGATTGCACATTCCAAGTCCGTCTTCTCTTCCAGGCGAATATCCCCTTGGCTCGAAAGTTGCAACTTCAAAAGGTGTTTCAACAGCCTACGCACCCAAGATGAGACACCCTCTGTCGCATCTGCTGATGGACTCCGCCAGAAAAACTGATCAGAAGAATTTCTGGAAATCTCAACACAGTTTCTGCAATATAACTGATGTCACAGAACTGATACAACCACGTCTCAATGTCGTCGCACATTTGTTCGGATTGTGCTTGCTTGCTTCTTCCAAAGCTTCGATCACATTGACTCCATGAGTGCAAAAGAAGTTCGACTCCACAGGTGAGGAGACTCCGGTTTGAACATGGAACCCCCTCCTCTTTCGATCTAGGATCTTCCATAGGAAGCCAAGGACCACGATCCATGTGCTCATCATCTGTTCATTTCTATCCATCTACAGTCAGTAGTCTACTATATTACCCTCTTGCCTGTTTTTGCAGTGAAGTCAACCATAGTTGTAAGGGCCATGCTGGTACTCCCACCACTCTTCAGTAGGATTTCGGCAGAAAAACCTGCACCTCTGAGAGTCGAGGAAATGCACCAGTCTTTATGAGAAATTCGAGGGTTCCAGGCTGTCCCAGGTGCAGAATTTCCTCCAACCAGAGTAGTGGCCAGAAAGCAAGCGATCACGAAGCGGTCGGCCTGTGCAGCCTTCCGAAGCTGTGGGGGAAGGGCTCCTGAAAGAGCAGGGAAACGGAGTCGAAAAAGAACGGTCGAAGCTCGAGCAAGGCAGCATGGCGACCGAAGCGGTCGTTGGGGATGTCAAAGTGAATCCCGAATTCTCGCTTGACCACTTTTGGTGGAAGGCATGATTTGCTACTAGTAGTAAGGCGCCTTGTTCCTAGTAGCTTCTTGCTCAGTAATGGCCTCCATCTAATAGCGATGGCCTCCACCTAATAGCGTCCTTGTTACTAGTAGCTTCTTGTTCCGGATATGTAAAGGTCCGATTCTTGCGCAAAATCAACTGAAGGTGGAACCCGGGCTTGTAGATTCGTGATCATTCGTGATCGTTCATCTTGGAAAGTCTGTTCTGGCCCACTGGGGCATTTTTTCGTGTCTTCCTGCGCATGGTTATTTTTGTTCCTGTTCACTTCACATTCTTCCTCCCCGGCCCATCTTCCCAGGCCGAACACGCTGCTAAACGCGGACCCGCCCGGCTAGATCGACACGACGCTGGGCGCCGGCGAGATCGCAGAAGACCATGTTCCTCTGCCAAAGATTATCTACTTGGATGCGCAGCTTAAGAGAACCTTCGCAGGGTCCCTTTGGCTGACAGTGCCTGCCAGTTAGCCATCGTCATGGTCACCCAAGCCACACGGCAAAATGGAAGCGGCATGTCAGTCAGACACCGCTGACGCTGGAGGCCTCTTCTGAGAATCACTGGTGTCTTGGTGTTTGGGTTCAGAACAAACGATAAGAAACCTTTGGGCGGCAAAACTGAGTGATTAAAACTATAGCACCCAAACAGGCTTCAAATGACCATCGGTCTTGACATGACCCTCCTCCTCACGTTTTCAGAACCCTGCGTCCGTCAAAACCCGATGTCTCCTGCTTCGCTCTCCTGTCATGAGGCCGATGTGCCTGGTCGGACTTGGCGGCGGAGGGAGGAATGAGGCGACGGATGAAGAGGTCATTGGTCTCCATTCGGTCGCCTGCTAGCTTGACGGACTTCAGGTGGAGATGGAGTCGGATACTTGGAGTTGGTGAAACTATGGTGTTTCACCATGTGAAACCTGGGTCCCATGAGGGTGAACCCACGTCTGATGTCTCATGAATCCCAAACCAACGGCGAGCTCTGTCAACGGCGAGCTCTGTCAACGCGGCATCGATGTCGCGCTCCGGATGTACCGAAGGAGACCGAAGGTGTCCGCGATCCACCACGAAGTGGAAGGAATTTGTCACGAAAAGAAGAAGGGATGCCTGCAGTAAGCAGCATCTTGAAAAATTTTAGAAAAGCACATCAATCATAGCGTTTTGCAGTAAGCACCACAAGGTGTTTGATCATGGAGAATGCGCTGGTAAGTCTACAAGTTTGTGTACACCATCTTTCCCCCCGAACCTCCAGACCCTCGGCATGCACTCTCTCTGCATCGCCTCGCCTCCGGGAAGAGTCGTGAGGCTTCATCCAGCCGCAAGCGAGCGGTGGCCGTCATGCCGTCTCACAGGTCCGATCGGGATCGGATCAGAAAAGGAACCGCATAGAGCCGATGGCCTCCACCCTAGTAGCGATGGCCTCCAACCTAAGAGCAAACAAACAAAAAAACCATTGGTTTGTGTTGAAATCTTCCGACATCTTCCGACCGGAAGATTTCAGATTCTGCCGACGACTGGCAAGATGCAGGAGGATTGACCTTGATGAGTCTCACGTCTGAGACTTTCGCCTGTTCAAAAGCTAGAAAACACCCAGGAACCCTGCGGGAACTTGACAGGCCACCGAAGCCCAGGCCTTCTTCATGGCGTGAAGGACAATGATTCACTGAAGTTCCATTTCGAACCTTCAGTGAAGCTTCACGCGGCTTGTGGTCGCTGAAGAACCTGAACAACGGTGTTCGGATGGTTCGCGGTGGCCCGGTGTTCGGATGGGCGGTGTCCACTGGAGGCCTCCTCTAGTTTTCAAGGATGCCTCCTCTAGCATCTTCGAAAATGTGTGGAATCCATGCGGCCTGAAACTTTCTGAGTTCTCTGTTCTTGATGTCTGCTTCCTGGAGACACTCCGCCTTGGTGGTGAGAGGGATCTCGGAGGCTTTGCGCTCTCCTGGCTGCAAGAACCAGGGCCGAGGATCCTCCCATTGAACATGCTCCTCAAGACTTCTAGGGTGTTCGCTGGATCTGTATTGAAACATGGGAGCCCTCCCAAAAAGACACAAAAAGCAAAACCCAAACAAACCTCACCGATCTTTCTGTCGGATCGTCTCCATGAATTGGCGGAGGGAAAATCATCCCCACTCGATGCATCAGTCGTATACAAAAACGCCCAAAGGAGCCCTCGGGCCGGTGTTAAAGTCTTTTGCAGTGCTAGTCTTGACATAGAACTCTGAATTGGTGGACATTGAGATCACTAGATCTCATCAGAACCCTGAAGCGGAGTGGGCGTTTTTGAAGCATTTGACTGCGCATTTTAGGTGGGGAGGGCTTTCATCCATCAACAATATCTGAGAACAGTCACACTTTGTCTTTCCTGTAGGCAAACTCAAAAGCCTTAGGTTCCATGTCGTAAACATGAGACAGCAACCTGACGCCACATCTCACACTTTAACAATATCATACATCATCACATACCTACATCATCCGCATACTATATATATATATATTACATCATGTATCTATATTCTCAGCCCGATATTCTAATGGTGTGACAATGTAGGCGCAACTCTCTTGCTACCGCCTCGCTGGGGAGCTCAGGCTCGCTTTCTCGCAGTGCAGGCCGCGGCATGGGGAGAGAGACCCTATCGCTCTTTAAGTAAAATACCGCTCTATTTTGTTTCGGAATACATTGTCTGCACATGCCAACTCAGCATAAGGTCTTCCTGGAATTTGACTAGCTTAGTCTGGTGTTTTTTCGGCTCAGTTGTAAGCAGGTGACGAGCTAAGAAACATTGGAGATGAAAGGGAGCCCTGCACTCTTCATGCAAAGATGCATGTGTTGCATCACCTGATTGGCGAAAATCACCCCTTCTTATTCATCGCAATGCAAGTAGTGCTCTATATATAGCAAAGTAAATGCTCGGCATGCCTCAATGTTCGAGGACACATCCTACTCTACAGCCGTGGCAGCTCAACACCCAATCCAAGAAGTCAGCATGTGCTTGTGACATGTTCACCCGCATGTGCTTAGCCCAACGCCCACACTCAGCGGTTTGCTTCTGCACCTTTTTGCTGGTCTAGACCTTCCAAAATCTGGTGAAAGCTACAACAACTACGAGGTCCAAAAGATTTTGGATTCTATTGACCCAAGTGAGCCTTTGCTCACGGCCCAGCCGATGGGGCGACAGGGCGACGGACCCGACGACTGCAGACCTTAGACGTCGTGGCTGGGAATTCATCGGTCCAAAACAGTGGGGATCAGCTCAATTTGCGATCGCTCCATAGCTACTTGAGAAGGAGAGAATCATTGTGAAAAATCTTACGACATGTGGCTATCGTGTCCCAAAAGATTTTGAGGGTTGTTCTTGACACGCTAGCTGAACACGATGTGCTATGTGTTCTTAGTTTTTGGGCTATTATGTCGCTAGGAGTATCTATGTTCCTTGACTAGATGAACTTCAGCGGAGCTCGTGGCTCGCCCAGGTGCGCACTTGCGACGGTGGTGCGGATGGCGATTGATGGCCACTGTCCGAGTGGAGGACCAGCTCAGCAAGGGACCAGCCCAGCCGATACAATCGTTCCAAAGAAACGTTCCAAAAGGTGCATGAAGACAAGTGCTTCTGTGTTTTAAATTGTTTTCAGAGCTTTCCATGTGAGTTTTAGGGAGTTTCGTAGCTCAACATTCCTCTTTGGGAAGGCTCTTTCACTTATGACTAGTTCATCTTGAAGCAACCCTTGCGAATTTCACCTTTCCAACTCCTTTTTCTTGGCCTCCAAAATAAGCCGCGAGTCTCACTGACTTGCGAGAAAACTCACACCCCAGCCGGCCAGTCACCAGTGGACCTCATGAGGTGCTGCCCTTTGACACCAAGAACTCCGCCGGCGACGCCACAGGCCTCGGTGCGACGCCATAGGGGACGACATGGGATTTGAACCTTCTGAACCATGGAGCAGCTTATTGGTGGCAGACTTGGGAACCTTTGGGTCTATGCTCGGGATGGACGGTGAACTGAAGTAGAAGCAAAGCTTCGACTGAACACTCAGATCGGAGGCTAATAGGAGGCTTCAAGAAAACCTCTGAAAAAAGAGGTTTGCCTCTGTGGCTATGCACGATTACCATAGAACAAGATCTGACAAAATGGGGGCCTCCCAGAGTCGGTGCAGCTCACAGAGTCGATGCGAAACAGCGAACGATCGAGCCCTCGCTGCGAGCGCTGTTTGTACTCGCATTGGCCATCAAAGATGAGGGTTGCTTAGCTTGCTTGTACTGATTCAGCAAAAATCTTGTTTGCCACATTAAAATTCTCTGAAAGGCAGTTGGGAATCTGAAGACTTATAAAGTAGAATCAAACTACTATACAACACCAACACTGCACTGCAGTATTCCCATCTCTGGACTCTGGATACGGGATAGGTGACCCTTTTGCGGGATTCCCCTTGCAATTGCCTGAGAAACCCACAACCCCTCAACAGTGGGCACAATTTTGATGGGCCACATTCTAGAGTCTCACTACCTTCATACAGAAAGGGACACCTTCAAAGGGTCCAGTGTATTGCCATCAACACCCACAATAAGGAATAACATGGAATAACTGCAAACACTTCTCCCACAAGTCAGGTCATTTCACGTCTTTGCCAAATCACAGAATCACATGTCTCACAGCTTCGTGCCCCACCGCCCTTTCTGGTCTTTCACGCCGCTTCGTGCCCCCCCGCTTCGCGCCCACCCATGTGGCTCCGACCCTGGGGTGAAGCTGGCACCCATGCCAGGACACCTCGCTTCGCGAGACGGAGCGAAGGAATGGTTCTGGGACCGAAGGATCGGTGCCGGTTTGGAGCCTTCGAGGATCCAATGGTTCGGATGAACCATGGAATTCCGAAGGATCAGCCAATCATGGGCCCATGACCTACCCAGGAGCTAGTTCCGACAGTCTGCCTGACATGCATCTCGCATGTTGTTCAACTGCAAAATCTTCCTAACTGGACTCTAGTGTCCTCCTTACAAACAACGTTATGCCCACCACTTGGATGGATGTCCCTGGGATGGATGGGTCATAGGTGTCCCAAGTGGTCTTCGTGGATGTCCAAAACCGTCACCCGCAACAGGTACTGAATTAGTTTCAATCCGAATCCTGGATCTTCTTAGGTTTGCTGACACTTTCTCCCATCCTGAAAGAGTCGCCTGGGCCAAGCTTACAAAAATGGTTCGAGTCTCCAAATCTTCCAAAAACACCAGGCTGCCGGCGGCTGTGGTGTTTGACCAGGTCCCCGTGCCAACGCCGAAGCTTGGAGCCCTTGAAGGATTGTGCCTCAAAGAGCTGTGCATAGTCCTCCTCGCCGCAGAGGAGAAGAAACAAAGGGCCGGTGAAGTTGAGCGGTGGTGCACCCTTTTATGATTGTTTTTCTGCTCATGAAAGGAGCACTCAACAGCTAGTTTGTTCCCTTAGGAACAGAGTCTTTTTTGGTCTTTGCTCAGCCACATGTCGAAAACAATTACCTTACTTCAATTGATACCCACACTGAGAGGCGATTTGGAAAGGCAGGGCACATGCATTGACAGACTAGCCTCACAAAGGTGGACATGCGGATTAACACAATGTTCCGATGCATGTTCTGGCATCAAGTCTGGTTTGTGCTCCGGCACATAATCTATCTGGACAAAAAGGGCTGGGAAATACTCTGAGCTGTGTTCTGACGTCCTTGTTGGCATGTGTTCCGCATTTTTTCCTGCCGTGAAGTCCGACATGTGCTGTGACATATGGTCCGTCTTCGGATGCTCTGACATGTACTCGGACAAATGCTATCTTGCTTATATATATATATATGCACTTGTTCATATATCCTGCCATTCTGTCTCGCGTATATTCAAGCATTCTATCTATCTGGCATACACTCTGGTATGTAGTGGCATTCTATCTGCAAAAATTCTGCCATACATTGTGGCATTCTATCTGGCATATATTCTGGTGTTCTATCTGGCATATATTCGGACATTCTAACATTCTATCTAGCAATTTATCTGGCATATACTCTGGCATTCTATCTGGCAAGTATTCTGACATTCTATCTGGCAAGTATTCGGACATTCTATCTGGCATATTTTCTGCTATTCTTTTCACATTCTATCTGGCCTAAACTCTGACATGTAGTGGCATTCAATCTCGCAAATATTCTGGCAATTTTCTGGCATATATTCTGGCATTCTATCTGGCCTAAGCTCTTGCCTTCTATCTGCCCTATTTGGTACGCTATCTGGCACATATTAACTCTTGCACTCTATCTGGCACATTTGCCATCCTATCTGGCGTACATTTTCGCAGTCTATCTGTCGAGGTCCGGCGGTGCCCACTGTGATCTAGCACTTGCGTTTGACTTGAGGTCCCGTGGTGCGATCTAGCACTGGCAGTTGAGGACCGGGAGTCTCTACAACCGTCACCTGGCAGGTGGTGAAAAAGCAGAGAACCCTTCAAAACCCAACTCCTTCGTCCCGTGATGCGTGACCCCCCGCAGTCCGGCAAGCTCCGGCCACTCTTGGCACCGGCCACTCCGGCTCGCTCCCCGTCGCTAAAGCACTGGAGGATGCCTCTGCCGGGTGAAGCTGGACGGCAGCCAGTCATTGGCATCCTCAGCCCTGGACCTGTAAGTCTCACTAAGACCCGCAGGTCTATGTGGAGATGCTGCGCGTGATCGGGCGAGGTGCCGAAGAAACTGGTTGACTTGAAGTTGTTGTGAGACAGCCGTTGAGCATACAGCTGGGGTCTTCGCAGGTTTCAAACCGATCGATGCTTTTGGGTAGGTGTGCAATGCCCAAACCAACACCAAAGAACAGGCAGATCTTGCACACGGTCCATCCGCGCCACCGGTCGCATGATAGCGGGGAAGTGAGGTAGGGCAGGGTGACAGGGAGATGGTCGCTACAATGCTCCGACAATCTAGAATGTATATATATATATAATATTTAATATATACATGTATATATAGTCTAGAACTGCTTGTTTTTCTTCGGGTCCGAAAGCAACGTTAGGCACGCCGCTTCCGCCGCTTGGGCGCCCGTTTCGTCGCGAAATGTGCTGGTGTTTGGGCGCGGCGAAAAGACCGTTTTTCGAGGAAGCTTGGGCCGCGTGGAAGTCCGCTTGCTTGTTTTTCTTCGGATCCGAAAGCAACGTTAGGCATGCTGCTGCCGCCGCTTGGGAGCCCTTTTTCGAGGAAGCTTGGGCCGCGTGGAAGTCCGCTTCTGCTTGTTTTTCTTCGGGTCCGAAAGCAACGTTAGGCCGCTTGGGCGCCCGTGGAAGTCCGCTTCTGCTTGTTTTTCTTCGGTTCCGAAAGCAACGTTAGGCACGCCGCCACGAATTTTGAGTCGTTTTTTGGGTGGAATCAGATTGTGGAAAGCATGGCGGAGGAGATTGCTGGGAGCAGGTGCCTACTTGGATGGGCGGTCTTGTTGCTATGTAGTTAGCCAAGATGGTGA